TGGTCGTGAGGAATACACAAACGTACCATTTGGTACCTATGTAACAGACTCTATCTTCGACCTTTGCCCCTATGATCTAGGACCACATGCTAAAGTTTTGCTGGATACTGTGGACATAAGGACATTACAACCGAGATGGTTGTGGTATCAAATTGGTCTTGTGCACCTAGAACTTGTATTAGCTTCTACTACCTTACTTGAGAACATACTGTATGGAAGGCTTGAGGTAATATGGATTGAAGTTAAGATAGCCGCATCTGTTGCCATTGTGTTGGGAAAAATTTTGTTTTTCTTCGGGTGTTACAATGAAGGACAATGCCTAATTAATGTTTACATGCTTGTTGATGCAACAACTATATTGTGTGACATATCTTTTTGGCCAGAGAGAAAACTTGGTTATTGAGACAATTGTTGGTGAGCACACTACTGACATTGTTCTTGACTCGAACCTTGAGGACAAGGTTCTTATTGAGGACGGGAGTATTGTTATGAATCAGCCCAAACTATAGGTTGGACTGAGAAGAGTTATTGGGCTAAGAAGAATCCAGAGGACTAGAAAGCCTTTAAAAAGGTTAATTTGGGATCCAGGCCCAATAAGTGCAATCAGAAATTGGTTAAAAGCATTAGGGGTTAGCTAGGATGGATTATGCGAAATGTTATTTGGAAAACTCCTCTCTCCTAGTCTCTCTCCCTCGTCTATTTCTCTCTGTGGCTCTGTCTCCTCATCTCCTTTCTTTCTGTTACTATCTTCTTAGTTTATGACTATATCCTTTGCACTTCTATTGTAATCAGTTTATTTGGAAGTTTAATCAAGGTATCGATTTGTTGAGTTCATAACATGATGTTAGTATATTTTAAGTTAAAACTAGCATTAGTCAATGGCTTTTGGCAAAAGCCATTGATTAATGTAAGTTCTGACTCATCTCTGATTCACCGGATTATAGCCAAAGCTCCTATCCTCGCGGGTTCGTTTGTTTGCTGAATTCGAAAGGTTTAAACGGGTATCCATTTTCCTTCGTCTTTTCTTTCTTTTCTTTTCTATTTTTCATGCTTTGTTTCTCATCTTCATGCTGTTCTATCCTCTTCTCCTCATCTTTCTTTTTTTTAGTCTGTTGAACAAATTCCTTTTGATTGCATGTTTAGGATCTTAGTAATTTCTGTTATTAGTTTTAGATTTACTCTTTTCCGTGTTAGTTCTGGATCATGGAGTTCCGTTTCCTTTTATTTTGGTTAAGCCCGTTTAAGTTTTGAAGATTCGGATTTGGTTCTTTAAAAAATGAAAGCCCAGAAAGAAAGGTCAGTTGGTTTTTCTTTGCAAGCCCGATTTGGGCTAAACAATTGGGTCAAAACCGACCCATGGTTGTTAGGGTAATTAACAGGACCTTAAAGGGCATTTTGGGTAACTGGTTTAGGGGAATCTTGCTACAACTGATTAGGAAGCTTCCAGGAAAGGGGAAGGGGGGTAATTCAGTAATTAGGGTTTAAATTTAGGGTGTTACTTGAACAAAAGGAAAATGGGGGAAGGGGTAATTGGCAAAATTATGAATTCATTTCTGCAGCCCTAGGGTCCTCTATATAAGGCTGGTTATAGTAAAATGAAGGGGGAGGAATTTAGAGAAAATACTAAAAAAAAAATTGAAACGGCTGGGTCCTAAGAACTCTGAAGAAACAACACTGAATTTTCTGCATTTTCTTGGTTCAATTTGGTTTTGATTTGGGTTTCACATTCCTGAATTTAGAACTCTTTAAAGACCTCTGACTCATTTAGAAATTAAAGAATGGTTTGAAAGCTGCTTTGGTTTGGGGTTTTGGGTTGAAATTATTGCTGTTCGGTTCCAATTTTACTGGGTTGAGCTGTTGACTTGTGGGCACTGTTGCGTTGACTGTTTTGCTGCTCGATTGCTGATCCTTCACCTCTTTTGTTTTCCTTGTTCACTATCAGGTATTTCTTCAAACTATTGTCAACAAGTGACAAAGAGCATGTATTTCGGGTTGAGGCCTGACTGAATACAATTGTTTTGAATCTCATTTCCATTGTTTCCTCTGTTCTTTCATGTTTTGTAATAGACTTTGTATTATACATGCTATTCTAATGTCTTGTATTATTAGTATGCTATAGAAATGAACTTGTGCTCTTTAAGAGTTCTGGGTGCTGATTTTTGAATTCAAGCAAACTGTGCTAAGTTCCTAGATGTTGTTATTGTTTTGTATCGAGAAAGAGTTAATTGGGTGAAGTTTGAGGCTGTGTTTGTAAGTTTAACTTAGGTTTGAATTCAAGCCTGAATATTTGTGGATTTCATTGTCAGCGTAGTTAAATTTGAGCATGCATCTAGTAGTTCTTGAAATTTCCTTACAGTCCAATTATTGTGGAGTGTTGTAGTTTATCGTGTGGTTGTTGGGTGCAACTGTTGTTTTATTGCTGGTAGGGACTCGATATTGAGGCCTGATCCTCAGTTTTGGCCTTGGCAAGGTTTAGGTTTCTTGAGCCTGGGCTTTGAGGTCAGTAGCGAGAGAGGGTGGAATGCCATTGCTACTTGGGCTTAGTTCTCGAGCCCAGTGGTTTGTTTGTTTGCCATTGGATCTTTCACACCACAGGTTGGATCCAAAAATGCTTAAAAGATAAAATCAGGAGCTCAGTTAGTTGTGATTTGTGCTATATTAGTTTAAATTCATAAGTGAAAAAAGGTAATTCATTTTTGTGTTTCACATAGCATTAGTTGATTGGCATTTGATCTCACGCAGTTATTGGTTCAGAAATTTTGGGCTCAAGGTTGGCCCAATAACAGATATATGGTTGTTAATTTCATTATTACATTCTGTACTTATCCGTCTTCCCTTCCTAAAGAATTGGGCTCATTGGGGGCCAAGCCTGGAGGCATTTGAATGGGATCGATCCCTGACTTTCGTTGAAGTAATTTGGTTTTGAATTATTTAGCCTTTTAATCTGATGCCTGTCAGCTAATTAGTAAGATTGGAATTTTATTTGAATAGGTAAAAGTTCCGCAATTCTTTTTCAATTAATTAATTGACTTCTAAAAGTAGATTGGAGGTGTGCCATATTAATAATACAAATAGTTTATGGCCCTCCGAAATTTAGTTTGAATCGCTTGAAAATTAGAATCGAAGCGTACCATGCCGAATAAAATCTTTAATTGCGTGGCCCCTCGTTTAATTAATTTTGTTTATCCTTAGAAATTGAGGCGTGCCGTTTAGCGAATTTTCATGGCCCTCGCAAAGTTGAAAACGCGTAGTTGCTTTAGGCGCGTTATTTTAATAATTTACCTTCCTAAAGTCAGGTGCGCATTTATGTGACCCAAATCCAAATCTCAACAATGTTATATGAAATATGTTGCGGACTGCGAGTGCATTTATGTGACGCGGTTCAATACGTATTTTAAATGACGTTGCAATTTTCCTTAAAAATAATTGAAAGCGGTTAATAAAGTTAAAAAATGCACATAGGCTTAAAAGTGTTTTTAAAATCATATAATAGACCAATTATAACAATTGAGCGATCGTGCTAGAACCACGGAATCCAGGAATGCCTAACACCTTCTCCCGGGTTAAGAGAATTCCTTACCCGGATTTCTGTGTTCGCGGACTGTAAAACAGAGTCAACTTTTCCTCGATTCGGGATTTGAACCGGTGACTTGGGACACCATAAACTATCCCAAGTGGCGACTCTGAATCTTTGAATAAATAATCCCGTTTCGATTGTCCTTTAATTGGAAAAACTCCCTTATTATACCCTTCCGGGGGTGTAGTAAAAAAGGAGGTGTGACAGCTCTGGCGACTCCGCTGGGGATAAGAACCCAAAATCTCTGGTTCAGGGTTCAGAATTCGAGCTTAGATGAATTTTTATATTTGGCTTTATCTATTATCTGATTTTATTACATGCTTGAGCCCAATGTGCTAAATGTTGCTTTTACCGCTTTGATATTATCTGAACTGTATATAAACTGCTACGAAACCCTTCTCTTCTCATCTTCGGGGATGTGCTCGCTGGTCGTGACTCCCTATTCTGTTAGTGTCATACCTTGAAATAAGAAAGAGGCTCGGACAAGTTACTAAGCCGGATGGCCTTTTGGTTCCCGATACGTAGCCCCCTCCTCGGCTCGAGTTGCCCGCTCGGGTACACAAGTCTAGAACAAATACCCAGGTTTTGAACCTAGATAACTCAGCCTCATGCCGGATCCCTAGTAGGAACGTTTGTTTGCATCATGTGCATTTGACTTTGGAGACTCAACACAGGGGTTGGGTTTGTCTAGGACAGGTGTACCAGAAATGAAAAGACCATCCTGATGCATCTTACTTGCTACTTGTGCATTCATTTGCTTCGGATTTGCATGTTGACCGGCTTATAGGGGAAAAGTTGAGAAGGAAAGTTAATGGGAGGATTGAGAGAGATAATTGTCTGTTTTTGAAAAACCAATGTCCAAAATATACTGAAACTCTGCCAAAATTTTAAAAAAAAAAAGAAAAGAAAAGTTTTGTGTTTTTTTTAGAAAAAAAAAGAAAAAAAAAGTTGGTTTTTGTTTTGTCAAAATTGCCCGAACTACGCCAGTTTGATTCTCTCCGGATGTGGGATACGTAGGCAACCCCCAACGGGTCCAACTTCCCTTTTTGAAAAATAGCCCAAAAAGAACAAAAATTTTTTTATTGCTTTGTTGTAAATAAGTGGTGATGCCATTCTTGTCAAAATAGCAGAATGTCCCCAAAAGGACGTCGGAAGGTTGTTTTTGCAAGAACAACCACTTTTGGTCTCTTTTCAAATTTTTANTCTAATTTTTGGGTCGGTTAGCAAGCACAGACCTTAAAATCTTCTTACCCCGAAGTGCTAGAAAGGCCGTTATTTGACAAAGTCGGGTTTTATTTTTGAAATGAAAATTTAGAAAAAAAACAGTGTTAACCTTTCTTGAGTCAAATGAATCATGATTTTTGCTTAATCACCCTAATAAATGTGCAGAATGAGCACGAGGCAAAATTTGCCAATAACAGTCATGAACAAAATCCCTTTGGAGCTGTGTATGTGGTGGGAAGACCTGGGTAAATCAGGGCAAGATAAGGTCAATCTATACTTGGGAGGTCTTACCGGGTTGCTGAAGATCAGGCCTAGAGGGGACATCATAAAGGCGTTGGTTACATTCTGGGACCCGGCCCACAACGTGTTTAATTTTTCAGATTTTGAACTCACCCCAACTTTGGAAGAAATAGCCGGATATATTGGGAGCGCTGAGGTTCCTCTGAGACACAAGTATCTGGTTGCGCCAAGAGTCTTCGCTGTGCACAGATTCCTAGATTCCTTAAAGATAAGCAGGAGAGTCCACAACCCAGATTTGGAAGCTGGCTTTTCCACTCTGCAGTTTATATATCAGAGATACGGTCACATAGGGAATCGCCTCAAATGGGAAGAACACAGGTGCTTTGCTTTTATGGTGGTATTCTTGGGTCTTCTGGTGTTTCCTAGGAATATATGGATAGCTGGGGTAGTCAGCACTTTGCTTACTCAGGCCAAAAGCACCCTCGCACCCCTGATAGTGTCTGAAATCTTCCGCGCTCTCACAGCCTGCAAAGCCGGGGGAGACTTTTTCGAAGGGTGCAACCTCTTGCTACAGATGTGGATGATTGAACACCTATGTCATCGTCCTCAATACATGAGTTATGGGTCGACAGAGAAGAACTGCATAGAGGAATTTTATACAAGGATTGACGGGTGTAGCCTGCCGGAGGGGGTCACAGAATGGATATCACGTCTCCGTTCCATCACTGCAGATCAAATAGAATGGACATTTGGGTGGCTTCCCGTAGATGAGATCATATACATGCCAGCTATCGGGCCTCATTTCCTCTTGATGGGTCTCCGGTGTATCCAGCCTTATGCCCCATACCGGGTTTTGAAACAAGCTGGGGAGATGTCAAATAGTTCCAGAAGATGAAGATCTTAGTGCCCAGGCAGTCGAGATTGGTCCTGATGGTCAGTTTCATGAAGCAGCAGTCCGCCAGATTTGGAGCGAGTAAAATCTTTAATTGTGTGGCCCCTCGTTTAATTAATTTTGTTTATCCTTAGAAATCAAGGCGTGCCGTTTAGCGAATTTTCATGGCCCTCGCAAAGTTGCAAACGTATAGTTGCTTTAGGCGCGTTATTTTAATAATTTACCTTCCTAAACTCGGGTGCGCATTTATGTGACCCAAATCCAAATCTCAACAATGTTATATGAAGTATGTTGCGGACTGCGGGTGCATTTATGTGACGCGGTTCAAGACGTATTTTAAATGACGTTGCAATTTTCCTTAAAAATAATTGAAAGCGGTTAATAAAGTTAAAAAATGCACATAGGTTTAAAAGTGTTTTTAAAATCAGATAATAGGCCAATTATAACAATTGAGCGACCGTGCTAGAACCATAGAATCCGGGAATGCCTAACACCTTCTTCCCGGTTAACAGAATTCCTTACCCAGATTTCTATGTTCGCGGACTGTAAAACAAAGTCAATCTTTTCCTCGATTCGGGATTTGAACCGGTGACTTGGGACATCATAAACTATCCCAAGTGGCGACTCTGAATCTTTGAATAAATAATCTCGTTTCGATTGTCCTTTAATTGGAAAAACTCTCTTATTATACCCTTCCGGGGGTGTAGTGAAAAAGGAGGTGTGACAACATGGATCACCCCACACAATGCCCGGTAATCACTCCTCAATGGGGCTATACATGACATTATCGCGTGGTCATCATATCCATATCTACCCTTCCCACCGCGTTAAGGTATTAAAGCGCGGAATGGTCTCGTTTACCTATTGCATGCTACTATCCGTCCCAATCCTATTAGTCCCGGAGACATTAGGACTACTAATCCTAAAGGGAAGGGATGTTAGGCTTATTTGTGGTTTCAAAGGGGCCAAATTCAAAGGCGACATACAAAACACACATAACAAGTTGGGGGAAAGCACATAACAAGCAAAGGCTCAAATATACCCCCTTTAAACAAAGAAGCACGTAATTAGCATGACTTACACATACTGTTTAGGGTCTAATTGAATACTAAACGTGAAATAACTTAAAGGTTGAGGCAGACTGATTTGTTACATAATTCAGATAAGAAGCCCAAATCAGGCCTGCCAGCTGGTTGTAGTTAATAGAACAGATTCAGTTTATAACTTTACCCTAAGGCTTGCCTAAGTGTTGGACAAGGATCCTTTAGGCATGGTATCTATTTAATTCAGAAAGCAATGAAATAACAAGGTCTAAAATAAACTGGATACGTACTGGTTAAAAGGGAAGTCAGGTTATTTAAAAGAGAGGCAAGTTTTAATAAGGGTTATAAGTTCTGCAACTAGTAGTACCCATTATCACTTATTTTAGCTCTATTCGTGATGAAGCGATTTAGATTCGATTAGGAGTTCCTATAGGCATGATTTCTAGGCGTTGTTGATTTTAAGCCTTTGCAGACATGGTATAAAATGCAGAAGGCTCGTTTTTAAGCATATGAACATGATATCTAGATGCATAATTAGCTGAAGACCTACGAGCATGATATCTATGATATCTAGGTGCAGAAATTTGTTTAAGACCTATGAACATGATATCTAAATGCGTTTGAACGTGCAGATTTAGATAATCCTATAAGCATGATTTCTATATGAATGTAGTAGTCCTATGATCATGATTTCTATGTGAATGATGGATATACAGAATTCAGAAGGACCTATAGACATGATTTCTATATGCACATGCAGAATTCAAAATTCCTATAGACATGGTATCTACCCTTTTTGCATACCTAGTTACCCGTCCCTTTTCACTAACCATCCCCAAGAGTTTATTACAAGTTATTACAGCCCGAAATAAGGTAAAATACATCAGAAAGAAAATAAATAAAAGTACGACCAAGGAGAGCCTGATTCAGACTTCATGTCTGAAATACGAGGTAAATCAACTCCAGGAGATCATGATCCAAAGCCTTTCTCCCATTTGAGGGTGTCAAAGTTCCCTAGAGCCTCAAAGGGACTCCGGGCAATGCTCACACCCAAAAGTATTATCAGATTGGGGATGAGTGCAGTGTGGAAGGGCCAGCCCTCAAGTGTCCAAGTTCAGAGGGAACTCGAAGGGTCCCAAGGCAAGGCTCACAAGAGGGGGGCAGAACTTAAAGACTAAGAAAGTGTGCTAGTGCAGAACAGAATGCTAAAAAGGGGAAAGGGAGAGGGAAACAGCTACAAGTAAGCACACATAAGGGGTTCAGGGGAATATAGAGATTGTAAAGAGCCTATTGCTTAGGCAAGGGCAAACTTTAGGCATGCCCAACAATGGAGAGTGCTAGCACACCTATAAGCCCGCCAGAACACATACTATTAGAGGCTAGGATCCCAGGGGATCAAGTCTGATTCATGGACAATAACTTGCAGTATTGCCATGCCTCAAACCATAGCTTAAACACATAGGGGGTAGGGGTTTTGGATTCATAGTAGAACAGGCAGAAAGAAATCAGTATGCTAGAGTAAGTGTTGAACTATACAGAAGCAGTAAGCAAACAGGGGTACAAAAGCAGTAAGAAAAACACATCGTTCTGGTGGTACAATGCTTAAATCAGGACATACCAATTTCAAAGTAGCAAATAGAGAAAGCAGGCAGCCAAACTTGTAAACAGTCCACAGTACAAGCAATAAGAAAGAATACTTTTGAGTGTGAGTATAAGTTCAGAAAGACTACGAATGATGGATGTCTTGGGTTAATGAAAGAGTCGTGTACTTATAGTGTGAAAAACAGGCAGAAATAAGGTAAGAAAATAATTAAGGAACTGGGTATCAATTAAAATCAATCAATACAATACTTCCTTTAATTAAGGAATTCGGACTTAAATGGTAAGGAGCAATAAAATTATTTAAGGAAAGAGATCAAACAAGCATCTTGTGCAAAGTAGGCAATTAGGGGTAAATACATAGGAGTTTATTTAAGGACAGAATTTTTAAATACACGGTAACATAAGTAAGGTAGAAAATCAATTAGTTGACAGTAAATCAAGGAGTCAGAAATTTGTAATTACTGGTCCATGAATGAACCAAGTCAGAAAAGCTAAGGAAAGTTTTCGACTCAAACCAAGCAATAGGAAAATCAACAAACAAGGAAAGAAGAGCAATCAGACTTACACAAAGGAAGTCTGAAATCAATCAGAATTGAAGGCCATTTTAGAGGGAGGTTCAGCACATATAAAGAGCACACAAGTATGCTAGGCTAAAAAGAAAACGTCATGCAATTGCAAAATCAGTAAGTAGTAGACTATAGGAACATGGTAGTCACATAGGTCAGCAATGTAAAAGAGAGAGATAGTATCAAATAGCATACAAAGGGTCCAGTATAAGGACCTTAGAAGAGAGAATCAGAATTGCCTAAAGAAATAGAGATTGAAACAAAGATTTTCAAGACTCGGTTGAGCAACAGAGGAAACAAATTCAGAAACTCGAAATAGTTACTGAAATCAAACAACTTCAAAGATGAAGGACAAGTAATCAAGGAAAAGATACTAATCGAAACAGGTTCAGGGGTCTTAGAAAAGAACTGAGACTTTTAACATGCTTTTTCAGTAGCAGGAACTCATGAGAAGCATAGTAAAAGAACAACATGCGAAACACAGTAGAAGAACTCAAAGAAACATAGTAGAAGAAACTAATAAGAAACCTAGCAGAAGAAACTAATAAGAACACAGTAGGAGAAACATATAAAGAAGCATAGTAGAAGAAATAAGAACACAGTAGAAGAAACTTAAAAAGAAACATATTAGAAGAAACACACAAGAGAAAAAAGAAAATCAGAGAAACATCTAAATAACTCAAAAACCCTAGATCGGAAAAATAAAGGTTTTGAAAGCATAGTTTTGAAATAAATATCAAGAAGTCGTTTAAAAGTTTAGGAAAACACGGATCTAGAACAGATTCAAAAAAATCAGAAGAACCTCGAAAACTAGGGTTTCAGAGGAACCCAAATGGTGAGAAAGGCTTGGATAGTCGTTGATCTAAGCAGGAGGAATTGAGGTCGGGCTCGAAACAGACATGGCTTGCCGGAGCAAGGCCGGAGATGGCCATAAAACTTGAATCAAGCAAGGTCTAGATGAAGCTTCTTCGTGGTCAGGCCATGGAACTTCAGCAACCAAGCGTACAGGAACCATAGAAGGCTGGTAGGTGGTGAGACCACCATGGATTCAGGCCAGGAGGTGGCCGGAGAAGGCGAGTGAAGCTCATCGGAACGGAGGGGAAAGGGGAAGGTTCTAGAGAGAACCAGAGATAGAGAGATAGGGATGAGAGTCGGTTGAGTGAGGAATGAGAGGAGTTTGGGGGGGGGGGTCGTTTGTTTAATTTGGAAAGGATCTGGACTGTTGATCAAAATTAATCAATGGCCAAGATTTAATCGGATTGGGTCGGGTAGATTTAGGGATTGGGCTTGGGTCTTTGGGCTGGTTTAATTAGGCTAGATTAGAAAACCAAATCTGGCTATAAGTTAAATAGCCCTTTTCCCATTTAATTAATAGAAAAAATAGTAAATACATTTCTGAAAACAAATTGAAAGCACTAAAATGATTTATAATATATAATTATTAATTTAAAAATATGAAATCCCATTTTATAAACATGAGACGAATTTAAACCTAAAAATGGCTAATATTGCAATTATGCAATTTTATCCTTAAAAATACTAAATAAATTTGTAAAAAAATATCTTAGCTATTATTTTAGTATAAACACGAGAATCCAATAAATGAACCACCAAAAATGATAATTTAGGGACAATTATTGGTTTTTCTTGATAAAATAGGGCAGTAAATTGATTTAAAAATCTTGGAAAAAATAATGAAACCTTGAGATATGCTTATATATGCATATACAGACCGTTTTGAAGGTATTTTGCATATTTAAAAATACATGGAAAAATTGGGTATCAACACCTA